CTTTCCCTATCCTCCCCATCTCGCTGGTTTTCTCAGCGAGAAAACAACAATTTTTTGGTTTTGGAGAGGTTTCTTTTCCTTTTTGTGTTTTAATTTGCTGTTAGTACAACTTATTTAGTTAATAATTCATTGCAAACACAACGTTCATTAACGCGAAAAAAAATCAGAAAAGGATCTATGAATCATTCATCTATCAATTACGTTAACTATTTCTACCGCATATTCAAATTCGAAAAACGAGTTTTATCCTTCATTGAATACATTCACACATAAATTGGTAATGAATTATTAATCATTACTATGGTTAGAAAATTTGTGCCATAATGCCTGGTCGGCACTATAAAACTCTATGATAGTGAAAGTATAAACCGTATTTTTTAAGCGCCTTACGTACGCCACTGACCGATCCTGCCAAGGCGCCAGGACCCGCGTATGTGCAGTAGTACGCCATCCCGGTGCGGGAGGGCAGGATAGTCTAACGCAGTTTAACACGCGAGAAGGTAGACATTCCGAACCTTCATCATTACTAATGATATGGGAATGTACTATGCAGGAGCAGTGCTATCGAAAGTTGCATTGATTTGGAATCACACTGATTAATGAGCGAATTATATCGAAGGGTTAACAGCGTCAAAAAAAAGACGAATGATACCCACCTTGACTGAGAGGCACGGGTAGAAAGTAGTTGGACCTAAGCGTTTCTCTTTTTTTATTATAAAATTTATAGCCGAACTGGTGAATTTTATTTTAACTTTGTGATATGCAAATCGAAGTTAAGTTACACTTATTTGTGTCTAGCAAAAAAAAATATATAAGCACTGGAAAAAAAGATTACTGGGATTGAGTTAAAGTTAGGCTAGACGATATTCTTTGAGAAGAAACTGAAGCTTAGTTCAGTGATGAGAAAAAAATTAATTTGTGAGTAGAATATTCAGATACCCTTTTTATCTTATGTACAAAGAATTTATCGTTGCTGTTTTTTTATCTTGAAGATTTCCATGAAACACGATTACCTGTTCTTTTCATATAATTTAAACTTATATCTCTAGATCGACCTTTGTTTTTCAACAAAACCAGTAAATAGATATTGGTTTTCCAAGTTTTTTTATCTCTCATCTGACATCGACTGTATGTAATAAGTTTAATATCAAAGTACAGAGCGATTGACAAGAAGATCGATTCATACAAAAAAAAATGTACAGTGACAAAATATGTCCCTACCTACCACTTATTTCGATTAATTTAGTCTCTCTTTCATTATGTTTAATGTCTGTTCATACTTGAAATATTTTATAAATAAAAATAAGATCTGTAATAAAATATCATTTATTTAGCTAATATTTAAGTTATTTTATATACTTTATTGAAGCCTTTGTTTGCCTTCTAGGACTTTTCGAATATGTAGCAATGTTAACATTTTATGATGTATCTTCCTATTTCTTATATTTTATTATTTATGAATAGAATATTTTTTTATTTTGTTTAAACTCTTTCTTGAATATGTAGTAATGTCTAAAGCCCCTTCCCCCATTTTTAACGACAAGTCTTAATCGAAAAAACTTTAACATATGTAAAGTAAAACTGAAAGACATGTTTTTAGTTAATAAATAGCGAAATAATAGTTAAAGATGGCGTTGAAGCGCCACTGTCAAAAATTTTCTTAAATGGCAACAATATGCGAGTGACACCTCATTTGAAAGCTGCTTCAAATTACTATTCAACCGTATTTTTCATTTTGGCATATGCCATTTATTTTATGATAAATTGGTTTGAATTATGATTTAACGAACTCACAAATACCATTTAATTTTATTGAAAACATATTACAACTAATTATTTTTTATATAAATGCTCAAAATCTTCACCTCCCTCCCACATGCTAGCAGTACAACATTCTGTTATAAAACTCTTCTCTCACTCGCTGAAGAGTTTCTACGGAAATTGACTTACATTATTAGGTAATTCTCTACTTCAATACCTCAATGTTAGCGGGTCCTGTAGCGTACATATTAAATTTGAAGTTGCGTCATTTGACTTTAATAGACTGTTCCTAAATGGCCGTAACATCGGGAACAAATAATAGTTATTTTACAACACACCTTTTAATATGGCTGGTTATTGAGATATAAGGTATTCAAACACTGATATCGAGTAACCACTCAGTATCACAGTAACCCTCTTTAAAAATGTATGTTTTACAGTAGGTAATTTACACACAGTGGTATTGTCGTGCTATTGAAAGATCAATTTGTGAATTATTTAAAAAAATTAATCATTCCATTTAAAATAAGGAAGTGAATGCTGAGTTTCATCTGCTTCAGTACTAATCATGGAAATGTTTTTATCGAGTTGGCCAAGTCTACATTGTCAAAAAATCAGTAGTTCCTGCAAGTCCTAATATCTACTTCTAACGAATGTTTTCTTTTTAAAGAAAATTATAAACATAGATTTGTTTTATTAAAAAATCTTCTAAAAAATATAAATTGTTTTTAAATAACTGTATATAATATCATAAAACAATTAAAAAAATATAATCTATATTTTTGGTAAAGAAAACGGGTTAAAAATAACATCTATTTTTTTTTCTGAACATGTAGTGGAAAAATTTCCTGAAAGTTATAAAACCAAAAGGAACGGGTGATAAAATATTAAGTTGTTTTTACGTAGATTTCCGAATTTCAAATGGACACCAAACCCAACATGTAATCGAACATATTGAAACCCTAGTTTCAATTGATCACCCTATATATACAATATGAACATGTTTCAACTAAACATTTCTTAAAATGTAAATTTTTATAGTCATAAAAAAATGTTTTCAATACTACCATCTAACTACTATTTTCCTTCTAAATGTGTTTTTTATTAACACCAGTATTCATCTAAAAATCAAAACATTCTTGATCAAGCGTCCGTTTGTTACCACAGCTGTCATTCAGGCTGATATTTTAAATTCAGCTTTTGATATAATAGAACACGTTGCCTGTTCTACTCGTATTTTAAAATTCAGGTGTTTCGGTTCATTTACCTGCATATACACTTGATTCAATTAAAATGCAACCGAAACTCCTAATGTTTTATTCATAGCGAACTTTAATGCATAATTAACTAATATAACTATTAGGTACAAGCCTGCAGCGATTTGCATATAACCGAAATAATTTTCCTAATTAAAACTACCCTCGTTCCGGATTCGAAGCAAAAATTGCGGGCGAGAATCTCGCGCAGTTCAGTTCCACAAATTACGCTCAGATAACGCCCGCTTACAAAAAAGGCAAAAGTTGCGCCGGAAATGAAATATAAAAATGCGGAATTCTTTCAGAGTGAGCAAAAAACCTCGAGCGAATCCAGCCGAATGCAAAAGTTCGAAGCCCAGCTGCGTGAGTTGCGGGGAATTCGGAGAGATGCACGTCGGTGCAAGTCCCCGCTGATGGCGACCAGGGCCGGGTCTATCCTCAAATGTACTTTAAGTAAACAGTTGAGTTGGTATTTACAACACACAAATTCATTAACTGTTTGTCTGTCAGTTTGAATTACCACTCATTATAGTACGAGATCCGACCGAGTGAATTCTGTCCTCATAAAGAAATAGAATGCGCTGTGTTGAGAATTAAAAGGTACGTTTAACGAAAAATCCAAGGGTTCCCCATTTATTCCGGCCGCAAATACCCGTAATACATAAAATATTTCTTAATTATTTAGATAATTTGTCATCGCCATCTTATATTCTTCTGTAAGACAAATTTTATTGTTTATCAAATGAGGCACCACTCCGCAGTAAGTAAAAAATGGGTGGCCGCATTCCAATCCAACCCTTGGTAGCCATCCTATTTGTACAGGGTTTATATAGGACTTGACACATCACATTTCCGAAGCCGCGACGTGACGCCCAACTCGAAATTCTGTCGCCGTGTTTTGAGAATAAATTCTACTATTATGAAGCTAAAACGTCGGACGAAGCATTAAAACTCTTGACTAAAAAAGTCAAGAATAAAATTTCAAAAAAAATTCATTTCTCTTTTGTTCAAATGTCGGTTCGGCAGAATAAAAGACAGTAAGGCTGGAGCACTTCCTGCCTCAGACGAAGAGTGTTTATATTATTAATTTGGTATTTGTAGTTATCGCACCTAAACGGGTGTCTGCAAGATACATGAACTTGTAGAGCCGGTGACGTAGATAAAACAGAGTGGCCAGCAAGGTAACCTGATCTAACCCCTATTTCAAACTAATAAAAATTTATCATAATATTTTGAAAAATTCATTTTTCCAGTTTTTTAACGCAGTTTTTTTGGACATGTATTAGACAATCACTTGACTTATTTTGTCCTCAACATATAATCTAAAAATCTATAATCTTGTAAACTTCGTTGACAACTCATTGCGTGGCCTATTCCTTTCCACAACGAATCTTTCAGCTGTTAATCTACTATCTCATAGTGAATATTTTTCATACCTGTATTTGGGTGTATTAAATTCGTGAAGTAAATAATAATATATACATTTCTTTTTTCGCTCAACTTTCGGCATTGCAGAATATTTTAAAATTGTTTTTGCTGATACCATCACTCACTACATGGCGTAGATGCGGAATTATCAGCATTGAAATAGTTATTAAATCTTGAATATATTTTCATCAAGTCGCCATCCTATTAGCTAATAGCTAATAGGATGCTAACTAATAGCTATATTTCTATTAACTATTCGCCAGCCTATGAGCTAAATAGGCTGGCGAATTTCCAAATTTTCCATAATACAAGCTCTAACACTTTTAATTTCTAGTTAAGCTGGGCAAGAAAAATACACATTGAAAGGATTATTAAAAGTTTTTTTAGTAGAAGATCCATCTTATTTTCTTTTTGTCTAAATTATGTCTAATAGGTGAATAAACCACACCACAGAAATTAACATTCTCCCTCTAGGAATCATTACGGTTATGCAGAGGAAGAATACAAATGGAAAAGATGTTGAATACATAACGAAACTCTGTGACAGGTGCGAATTGCCACAGGCAGGATTCGAACCCGCGCAGATAATAGCTTTCGGAGTAATCCGCATCTTCTCACCTACCGAGCTATCGCCGCGGCTGTAAAAGGATTTTGAAAACACTTATGTTACTGATCGAATGTCTGCAATAAAAAATCTACTAATCATCAGGAAATGAACGAGCTTCCTAGAAATAAAACCATTATCCTAATGAATTAAACATGAATGTTATACAAAATAGCGTATATCTCATGTGTAGTAGTCATTAACTTTAATACCTAGCTAAGTTTAAGTTATAATAGTTGAGCTAAGATCGCATAAATAACGTAATATTTACATACGAAATTATATTGTTATGTATTTTGTTTGATATCCCCATTATGGTGAATTAGATCAAAATATTTTCTTTTAGAAATACCTACGTATTATATTAATCTTATTAATATCGATATTTATTGATTTACGAATAAATAATGGACAAATATGTTCAGTGCCTTTTCTGAGAACCTTGCGAAATCATATTTTCGATTTATGCCCCTTGATAGCCCACTTCCCCCTAAATCCGTTGCTGAGGTCGTCTGTGAAGGAAAGCATGAAATTTAAGCGCAATGCACGGTGAACGGCGAAATCAAGTGCACTCTCCTTGATATTTTATCGGGTTGTAGATGAAGTCTCCTAACGAGTCCCCGCAAAGAGTGTCACACACTGGTATATGTCCCATCAACGGGAATACGTCCATTTCATGTGTGACACGTTTTACGTACAACAGACAGCAGTTTTATTAGATCGCGCTTCTGATGGAATTTCCGCTGTTGCGGTTTCACCCCTTCCACCAAGAATATGAAGAAGGGTAGGTAGGATAAGCACGCTTCAAAGCCGACCTCAACAATTGTGTAGATTAAGAAACGAATTATTAAGAATGTCGTTGCCCAATAGTTGAGATATTCAGTGATGACGTAGAAATCTGTTTTATTTTAATGATGATAAAATTGCGTCGTAAAGTTATTTTATCATCCTCATCAAGTTCAATGGGTTTCCGATCAAAAGAAATTATTAATAATCTGACGGTAAAATCTAACGTTGCCTTAGAAGTTCTATGCATAGACCCAGTACTTTCCAGAAACAATTTTGCTTCCTAAGCACACAGGCGAATCATCTCTTGATACATACGTTTCGTGAATTATCAATATGAGTATGATTTTACGACTCAAATGAACGAATCTGAACTTGGTTGAACCATATCGCCTCTGGTTCTCTCTAAAGGGGTTAGGTGGGTTTGAAAACTTCAAAAAAATCGATTTTTTTTTTGTCTTATTAAATAGTACAATATGTTTAAAATATTCTCCTAAAATTTCAAATCGATCCGAGGAAACTTCTAAGAGATAGACCCTTCGGAAGTTCTGCCCATCAGGCCACGTCAGTGCAGCGCTTCGCAGGTATTGTCGATTTCAGATAAGAATGCGCCCCCTAGGCGTGTGACAGTTGATTACTCGCTTTCTCCATGTTTGTTTACGTTTGCCAGCTTTATGGTGCCGGAATCTATGATTCTATGTAAGTTAAAAAAAATTTTTTTTTTGCGTATTATTTCAATTTAAAACTTTAAACGCGTTTATCTCAAAACTCAATTTTTTAAGTCGGTGGACACGATTTCTCGAAAAGTTATGAAGCGATTTTGTTCAAATTTTGCACACATCTTTGAAATAACATTATCTAATCATTGAACGAAGGATTTTTTTTATTATTATGACAGCTAATTTTTTCGAGCCAATACATGGCGAAAATTTGACCAAAAAATGTGTTTTTTTGTTCAGTCTGTCAAAAATTCGGTTTTTTGTTTTATTTTTTTTCCTTCGTCCAATAACGAGATTTATCCATGTACTAACGAAATATTTTTGGTTTTTTGATTTTGGATGAACCAATAATGAGTTATGCTGTCCACGGCAAGAGCATTTTTTTTGAGACGTCAAGGGAGATGAGGTACCAATGGCTGAGTTTTAGGAATTTTTAAATAAAAATTTCACAAAATACTGTTTAAATATCTATCTTTGACATGCTGAATTGTTTAAATAAAATATATGATTGTATATATTAAAAAAAAAATAGTAAAAACACCCTTTTTTTGAACCTCTGAAACCCACCTAACCCCTAAAGTGAAAGGAATCCCTAGAAATATCCGTAGCATGCAAGCGTTTAGCGGACGGGAAATTTGCGACCAAGCAACTTCAAACCACATACCTAACCCTTCAGGATGTGGATCTTCGAAAGGACATATGAGTATTTATTATCTATAACCCCATGAACTCAAACCAAATAACCCTAAACCCTGGGGATCTGTACTACCCTGCTAAGCTGAAACGTTCCAACTAGTAAAATATGTATTTTGAAATACATCCTTTTAAATCTTTATTTACTTTCAAATGAAAGTTAATAATCGTTGGTATATGGATAGTTAAATATGATCAATTTCATTATTTGACTTTTTACTCATACGACTTTTTGAATTAGCCAAAGTTAGAGATTTACTAATGAGTTTGTTCTTTTGCTCAGTTACGACAAAAATTTTATTGTAATGATAAGATAACAAACTTTTCTGGTAGAAGGGTTACATACTTTTTATTTACCAGATAGGACAAATTGTGGTATCATTGGTTTTTATATTTGAACACAGATAAGCCAGTTTCGCTTTTGTAAGACAAAAAACAACATGTCCTATAGTACACGTAGAACAAAATAGATTTAATATTTTTGTTAGATGGGATTTTGTTTCATCTTAGCAGGGCAGTGTAGATCTGATCACCAAGAACCAAGTATTTTATTGGTAAGCATCGTATTCGTAAGCAAATGACCTCTAATTCAAATAACCCATAACTCAGCAATCTCATAACCACAAACCCCATAATTCCATAACCCGAGATCTGCTAATACAACCCACAAAACTCTGAGAAAACATGGATTTTATGAATCATACGTCCAGAAATATACTCGTATAACACAGTGTCTGCTGGCTTATGTGGCCCCTTATGCTGGCCCCTAAAAACCCAAAATCCACATAAACAAACATGTACACACATAAACAAACATAAACAAACAGGGGTAATCAAACATGTATGGATATAATTCTGGCAGTGCATAACTCCCAGGGTTATACGGTTCCCTGACTCCAATAACCACATACCTAACTCAGACAAAAATAGGTATTGCACTTACAGAAGCCTAAAATTATGTGGTTATAGAAGTATTCATTCCCAGGGTTGTGTGGTTATTTATTAATCCTAAACGGTTATGGATTTTTAGGTTGCTTGATCACAAATTTTATAATCTGTTATATCCACTTACATGGGCTTTCTAGATTTTTTTTCACCTAAGAGAAAAACCAAAAAGCCATATTGTTAAACTAAGCTCAGACTCGTATTTAGGAAATCCATTTGAAACGACTCTCTCAACTGTCAACCAACTTTTTTTTTATTTTGTGGTCTTCTAGTATTAGTCTATTTGCTTCATATGAACGAAACCGATAATGACATTGTGGTGGGAGGCAAGCACTGAGTAATGTCATATCTCATCTACCGTTCCGATCTACGTCAGGTTTTGGCTTCATTTTAGGCAAAATGGTCAAAAATGGATGGCCAGCTCTATAAAGTGATCCCTAGGAAACGTATTTGTTGCTGAGATATGGAAATTGTAGTTTATAATGCGAGCATTTCAAGATTTAATAAATCAAAACCAATCAGTCGCAACCAATGGTGCTGGAAATCTACGTAAAACAGTATTTCCAACAGAAATGTTAACTGCGAATTGAATTTTGCATTGAACAGGGCTTATGCACTGCACGGGTATAGTGCAATACACTTAAAATTTGAAATCGGTATCTGATATGACACAGCCGAAGAATCATCCAGTAATGGCGAATCAGACGATGATCATTGACAATTTAATAATAATAATGTTTATTCGAATTTTCTTTCTTACAAATCATAAGAAATTCACATGAAACATGTAGGTATAAAGTATGCACAAATTTTACATTTGTATAGTGTTTATATCAATTTTTTGCTGAATAATAGTTGGTTTTAATTTTTTTTACACTAGTCTAGTTAACATTAATTTACACTAGTCTAAACTTTTTAAAAAAAGAGAATCCGCTGACCCTAATGAGATTATTAGAAGAAGAAGTAGATAATGGTGGAGGCTGGTGAAATTTGAAGTTCTCATATTTTCGTAAGAAAATATGGGACCCATATCCCAGGTCATATTTTAGGAAGTGATTATTAGACCTATTAGCTGCAGAATGTAAAACAGATATTTATTCTAGTTAAAAATAAGTGTATAATTTCAAAAAAGAAATTTCGTCTCATATGTTTCGATTTTGGGCACATAATATTAGTACAAATACTACTTATATTTGAATCTACCAGGAAATAAAAATCTAACATTATAAGCGGGATGGACTTAATAAATTCTGCATTCTCGACCCAATCACCGACCAAAATCCGATTATTCGCTCTCCAAGGTATATTTAATCAAATGTGACTGAATGAAAAGACGTTAAAGCTTCCCTTAAACATTTAATCAATTTGAGTTCGAAGGCAATGTCGGACAAAATAGCTTTTCGACTTAACTCAGCGCAAAAAATGTGACATAAAAAGGAATAAGAGCACTAAAGTTAAAAATATATAAGTATGTATAAGATAAACTCAAATTTCTTTAGATAAAAAATTTAATATTTTTGTACAATCCTATATACATATATATTTTTTTAAGTAGGAGAGTATTATTTGTAATATCCTATTTACTCATCGGGCATATTGTCAACTAGAATAATGATAGCTTCAATAATGAGATTAACATTATTACATATAGGGTGATTTTTTTAAAGGATTCGTTCCACTGAATTTAGTTATAATATACAGAGTGTCCACAAATTATGCTGACAGTATCTAACTTCAAGTTAAAAAATATATATGTTAGTTAATTGACTATAATGAAGTTAATGTAACTTGAGTTCGGCGTAGAAACCAAAACCTGGACGTTTTCCACGAAACACCGAACTACTATACTTTTTCCTGGAGTGGGTACTGGAACCTTCGGCGTAGATACAAAA